GTTTTCGCACTTCTCCTTCTTTTTATTAGATTTCCTCTATGTTTTCCAGCAGAAATAATGGAATTTCTGACAACCAAACTCGAATCATTTGGTTTAGAATGATTTGAAAGGGTCGTTCGACCAACGAGTTAGGTATAAGACAACCAAACTTAAAATTTGTATTGGAGTAATTCGAAAGAATAGTCCGACCAACGGGTCGGGTATAAGCTAGTTGGTTGGTAAAGTGCGAAAGTAGTTGGCATTTGGAGGCAAAGCTGGTGTTGTTCCGTCCCGTGACTTGCATTTGAAGCCAAATTTCGGGATTTGATAAATCTTCAACTATACCGCAACTTAGCTGAGTGGAACAACGAAATTCTAAGTCCTTGGTTCTGCAGATCTGTTGAGCACTGTTACCAAAAAATGGAGAAGATGAACCAGGCTATGGAGAAGATGAAGATTCTTGTCGGAATGGAAGTCGAGGAAGACCACGAGGAACAACCCTCCGCCTCGTCCCGGGATTCGTCCTCCTTAATCGACGACTTCAATCGCAACTGCGCCCTCTCCTCTAAGCAAGTGGGTTGTGTTTCCCCCGGCCCCAATGAGATCGAATAGTCCATGCGATTTTTCTACAGCGCTTCGCTTCGCTCATTTTAGAAACTTATTCTGTTTGTCTTTACCAGAGGCTATACGGTTTCGCCATCTGCTTCGTTTCGGGCTTATCTTGTACGTTTTTGGTAAGTTTACCTTGTCTTTCTTTCTAGCATTCTTGAATCTTTCGTTTAGTTGCAGCTTATTATATGAACCAAGGAAAAATGGAGTACGGGAGTGACGCTCACTGCAACTTTGCCGTGGCTTGAAAATTCTTTACTCCGCCATAGGAATTGATTTCAAGTTCATGTAATATAGTTTTGATTACAATTTGTGTTCTCTCATCTCACCGTTGGCAATGGAAAGGTTTCTCTCATTCTCTGGTGTGGATACCCACCACATATGGGGTGAATCATTTTCTTTGAAATAAAAAACAAAACCTAGATCTATTCAGCTTGATGGCTCATGTCACTGGGGTGATATCTCAGAATGTGAATTAAGTTTGTATCAATTATATGTTAATGCATGGAGAACAAAAACATCAGAGTTGCTTGCTTTACATGATCGTATGGAAATGGTGAACTGATTTTGGTTTCCTTCTACTGTATGGAATCCTGGGGAGGTTTTGTATGGTCCACTGCATTGTTAGACCTGGAAACCATTTGTGGTGCCCTGTAGCTCTAATCTGCTTTCTCTTTTCCCTCTCATATTGCAGTCCATGCTCTTCTTTTTCCATCCAATCAAGTTCGGAGTTACCTTCACCTTTGACAATCTGCTTGCACTTGGGAGGTCAGTTTTTCGGTTTTCCCTTCTTTTTTTATTTCTCCAATTTGATTTTGATTTCCCTCTTTGAAGTGTCGGTAGACTGTAACCGGCGCTTGATTCCTGATCAAAGAGTTTATGTTTAACTATATGATGAATGATACTTTCCCAATTGCATCTGCCCAGTATCGTTTTGGCTTGAATATATTCCTCTGGATATTAGTTCTTGCGTTTTCTTGGACTAGATTTAGTTTCAGCTCTCTCTTGGTCATGGTTAATTATAGGAAGCGAGAACAAATTGTGTACATTCATATTGAAGGTCTTACTTGTATCAGGAAGAGTACATTTTGAGATGCGGTTTAGCATTTTAATCATACACCAGTTTGTGACACTGGGACTGCCATCTGTGATAATTAATTTGCTTCATATTCAGTTTGGATCCTGACCTAGTATCCCCCAGTCGGATGTTCAGAAGCGAGAAATCTTGTAGTTTTCCTCCATAGATGGTGGCATTTCAGGGCTAATGAACATCAATAATTATCTCTAGGTGCAGAAAGATCCCTTCATATGCTTAGCACTTGGGGTGTCTTGCAGCATTGCAGGATTTTTAAATCCCAGTTTTTTTGTAGTCCACAGAATTACACCATAATATAATCGATTTTCGGAAGCCTTTGTTGCAAGTTGTGACATTCTTATAATCTGACTTCTTACAAAAGGAAATTATGTGGTTTAGCTAGTTCAGTTTTTCTTTGTTCTTTCTAATATGCACTCTGTATTTCAGTTTCTTGCTCCCTTTTTTTCTTCTGGTTTATATATCAAGTTCAGTCTCTTGTGCTTCTTCACGTTTCTCTTTTCTCAAAGTACCTCTGTTTTCTTTTAGCAGTTTTCTGATGGGATACATGAACTTTTCTCCCTTCAATCTATCCACTCCTGATGAATTTCCCTTCTATTTCCTGACATTGATTATGGTGCTAAAGCAGTAACAAGATAAAGATAATACTTATGTTCTTTCAGTGGCTGTTTTATCTGTGCTAGTTGCTAATTTGGAATGTTTTCTGCCACAGTACAGCATTCCTGATTGGTCCAAAGCGCCAAGTTACTATGATGCTTGATCCTGTTCTAATATATGTCACAGCTCTGTACCTTGCAAGCATTATTATTGCCTTGTTTTGTGCTGTCTACGTAAGTTGGTCATTTACCTGTCTTTTCTATTTCTGTTTAGTAGTTTTTGTATAGAAAGAACCACAACCTCTTGCTAATATGTTCAGCCTCCTGTCACTTGCCACTGAACAGGTTCACAGCAAGATCTTGACACTTTTCGCGGTTATATTAGAGTTTGGAGCACTATTTTGGTATGTCAATTCCTGATTCCTAGCTAACCTTTTTAATCGTCTTCTCTGGATTTGTGTGTTCCTTTCGGTTTGCCTGACCGTCGTTTATTGTTAAATTCTGCTCCAGTTCAAACCTTGCAATTCATAAACTTTATCTAAGCATGATATCGTTATTGCATCGTCACGCTGGACATGGTCTTGTATCTAGCTCCATCTCTTCCATGTTATTTATTATGGGAATTGCTGTTTATTCATCACAGGTACAACTTGAGCTATGTTCCATTTGCTCGTTCCATGGTATCAAAAATCATGGTTGGTTGCCTCGACACAGAATTCTAGCTCGGTAAGAGTCTGGTAAAGAAGAATCTTGCATCGATTAGATAGAGAACATATAGCTTGATACCATGAACCTCGATGCTGCAAAAGGTTTATGGATTTCTTCTGGATTTCACCCATCAATATCCCCACTGAAACCTTAGATTTTTCATTTTGAGCAAACCACCTTGAACTCCTCACCTTCTTGTTGCAAATGATGTCCATCTTCACCTGGGAACTCGTCTTATTCTGCTTGTAAACGTTTCGTGTTTCTGTAACTTGAAAACCAGGCTTTACGCTAATTTTGTTGCTGGAGTTGCCCCTATGTATATATTTTTTAGCCATATTGCTGGAGATGCCCCGTACCATTGTAATAATTGACTGTTTCTCTTAATCCTCTAACAATATACAAAATGTTCTATCATATCTTTAGTAAAAAAATAACCTTAAATTGATCGGAATTTGGGATATTGTATTGTATCACAATCCTTAAATGATCAAACTCTGAGTCTTATTTCTACAAATTTGGGATATGATATCTGCGGGTCGCAAACCAAAGTCAAGATTTGAGCAGGCCATACAACCACTTTCTCCTCCTCTCCTACCACCAAGCCTTTCTCCGTCTCACGTGCTCGTGCTCTTTCTCTCTATTCCTATCTCCAATCTCTTTCAATCTCTGTCAATCTCTCACCATATCCTCCATCCGAAAACCAATTGCCCTGAATCAATGCTACCAATCGATGCTATGATCAATCGATTCCATTATTTTGGATTCACAAGTCTAGTTCTCCTTTGCTTTCGATCCACGTAATTTTGATTCACATGCTCTCTTCTTTTTTCTTTCCATTCTATTTTCCAATCGCCGTCTCCGACCAGAGCACTTGCCCAAATTGAGAGGCGTGGTACACAAGTTGCCTTTCTCTCCAACACGGTTACATAAACCATACCACAAGTTTATAATAGCACACCATATGTTCTTAAATCACACCATAAGTCTCATAACACACACCACAAGTTACATAAAGCAAACCACATGTTTATAAAAGCACACAACAAGTATTTTAATGCACACCACAAATCTATTGTCTTGGCCGTTCGAGATACGTGTCTTTCGAGATATTGATGGAGTCACTATGTTGCTTCCTTTTGATGTCTTGCAATATTGGAAGGACAATCTATTTCGATTTTCTCACTTCTCTGGAGTCCTCTTTAAGTTTGGAATGTACAATATTAACAATATGGAGGAGTTCAATTTTGTTGGATACTCTTGAAGCCGTTGACAACTCGTAATTGGATACGAGGATACCAAATGGGCAAGAAAAACAAGCTTTTGTATTTGTTCTACATAAGTTACTCTATCTTTTCCTTATCTCCTTTTTTCCCCATTGATTAATTATACAAATGAGGAGGATGAAGATGTGAATGATGACGGAGAAGAAGTAAAGCTTCTAAAGTGTTCGTCATGTGAAATATCATTTTTTACATGTTTTTATTGATATTTGCGAGATGTGATTATATGATTTATTATGGATCTTGTATTCTTCTTATGATCATATTCAGACTTATTTGAACTATTCTCAATCTTTTTATGATATGACCTATGATACGTGAATTTTTAAATCTTCTTATGTGTATCTTGTTATGCTAAGTTATAATTAATAATGTTATATGTAATATTAGGTGAAATCATATATAACTATAAAAGGTTGGAAATCAAAATTCTCATTAGTAAACTAGGATCTCAAATGTCATCTTTGATTAATCTTCATCAAATTCATTATCTTTTTGAACGATCATTTGTTTGTAATTTATATATTTGGGTCAAGAGGGCAGGTTCATTTTGGATTGTCAGGTCACAAGTTAGTGGAGTGACATGTCAATCAGGTTGCAAGTCAGTCGAGTTGTGGGTTGAGTTACTCGGAAGCATTAATCTTGCAGACTAAAATGTGTACACTAGCAAGGGGAATATACTTCCAAATGTGATTCTGAAAATTTTCAGAATCTAGATCAACCTAAGATGAGACTAACACACAAAAAAAAAAATATATAGAGAAATTCCTTTGGAAGTTAATGCTTTGATTGCTACTTGCTAGCAAATTCAAAATTAACTGCATGAATTGCTTATGGGACTGCAAAAATTAACCAATAGAAAAATTAAACCGGGAGATGGTGAGAATCAGTACATTCTTCTCCCGAAACCAAATAAAGGATGAAAGGAGAAAACTCCGCCCTCAATTTAAGAACCATCCCTGCCCGAGTATCTGCAAATGAAATGCCAAAACGATTCTTAAAACCTACACTCAGAGATCAATTTGTGTTTGTTCACTGCTTTCCCTCTTCAATCTCTTTCTGGTACAACAAGATCTCTTCATATCTTGGGACGATTGAGCAACAACAGTTGCATAAGACCTGAGTTTCTCGAGAATCCTCCTCTCGCATATGCGCAACAGAAGAGAATAGTAGGCTTTTCCTTCTTTCACACTACATCTCTGGAGAGCCTCAATGTCGTCTTTCATCGACTTATTATATAAACTATCCCTCTTATCAGCTAGCCACAAAAGAGCCTCACAAACACTTTCAGTCAATAGCAGATCACGACTGATTTCTGACCTTTTGTCCTGTGTGATACTGCATTTCTCCGACAAATACATGCTAATGGGATCTTCTTTGCTAGTGGCAGTAGTTGACACTAGGATATCCAATCTAAGGTAAGCTTCCTCTGGTAATAGCATTATGTATAACAATACCAACAACTCAATCTGTGGTTCACCATCGTTGGAGACCTCAAAGTATTCAGACTCCCCACTGACACACCCCGAGTAATCTAGGTTTCTCCACAGGGACAGCCTTGCTCTACTATACCGGCCAGTGAATAATGATGAACTCCATTGTAGTACCAACTCCAAATCAATGTTGACAATATCGAATTGATTGTCTGGCTCTGCAAATCCATACCTATGCAGCAATGCCGCATTGCCCACCAACCCATATGTATTGAAGATCTGGCAGAGTAAACACCAACAACAATTGAACACAGTGATGAGCCAAGTATTCTGCTCCAAAATAATGGGACTGCCTCGAGACAGAAAGTAAATAAGTAAATCGATATTGTGAAAAGAACCTCAGCTCCATGCTGAACATCTTTCACCATGATCATCTCCAACACCATGGGATCATCCAGACTTATCGCAGAGCCTTCCAGCTCACTTGAAGGTTCTTCGTCAACCTTATTTTCATTGAGCAAATCACTTATGCTGCTATCCTCCTCCGCATCATCATCATCATCATCATCATCATCAGAATGTGATGATGGTACAGAGGTGAAGTGCACATCTTCAGCACCAGTCTTGTGATTAAATCTACATATCATATTTGCTTGATAGCTGTTAGTACAGAATCAGTACAAAACTCAGCTCATTAACTAACTCGTCAAGCTACATGAAACTAACAAAAAGCGAATTAGTATTAGTACACCAATGACTTTCAAGACACCTCGACCACAAAATTATTGAGGAGAGTGCAGTATGAGTGCTTACAAATCTGCCAAAGGAACCATCCCGTGTCCATGGTAATCGTCTATCTCAAAAGCTCTGGACGACACAAGGCTCTTGGCAGCAAAATATTGCTCAACGCCAAAACATTTTGCGTTGACATTTGAAGGCAGTTGATGAACTAGAGGCAAGATGTTCTCCTTCCAGTCCTCAAGAACAAGACCCTTGTCTTCTTTAACGGTCTGCCTACAGAATATGCACAAGAAGCCATCACCAAAGCCCTTTTTCATAATCACCAAAATCAAATTGAATTTTGTTTCTAGCCAAGAAAGCAACTTTGCTTCCAATTCCCAAACACAGACCCTTTCTAGTTGATAATGGCCAACAGCAGGCCATAGGGGAAAAGAAGCAGCAAACCAGACAAGAAATCGGATTGGCATTGCCATCTGAAGCAATCACAGAACATAATGAGAAGCTTTGGTAGTTCTTAACCTAGGGACAATTTCAACTCCTGAATGTAAGAAAAATGAAAATCACAGTAGTTTCACCTTATGAAGCTCGGTACCCTGGAGGAACCGATCGACTTCGTCCAGTGTCCAGAGCAAAGGGATGCACTCGCTCTCCGGCAACAGCTGCAGGTACCCAGCCCAGGGAGAAGATTCCCCCAATCCCTTCTCAAACATCAGCGCCACAGAAAGCCCCAAAAACCCTCCTAAATCCGCCGACTCAATCAACTCGCAAGCGCCGCTGTTCTTGACGGTGAGGCACGCCGCCTTCGGTATCGCCGCCACCGCCTCACCTTCCCTCAAGTCCCGCACAGCCTTCACCGAGACGGCTCCGCCGCCACCCTCCGAACTATCGACGAACTCCATCCCGTCGGTCCACTGGAACCCCTGCGACTTCATCCACCGCACAAACGCTCTCAACCGACGGCTCATTTTCCGACCACCGGTAGTGAACGTCCGACAAAATGGTGGAAAGGCTGGATGGACAGTGGAGGACTGCAGGGCTAGAGCCTAGAAAGGCGAGCGCTCTTCTCGCCTCTGGGCGGGGTTTTTCTATTGGGTTTGGGCCTTGCGTTTTAAGTAGGCCGAATTTGGGCTAGCTAGAGTCGTTACTAGTCCAGTGTGAGAAGAGGCCCATGAATTTAAAAATGGTCCCCGATTGCCGAATTTTGCGAGAAGTTACAGCCCGGCGGTCGCGGCTGGTTTATAATTTGGCGTACAGAGTGAGAAGGAGACGGAGAGAGGGGGAGGCTTTTGGTCGGGAAAGTGAGTGAAGGAAGAACCGTAGGAAACAGAAAGAGAGAAGAGGCAAGAAATTTTTTCTTCTCCATTCTCTGTTTGGTTTCTCTCTACCTTCTTTGTGTTCTTGCCTAATGCTTGTCAATGGAATAAACTTGCTTGTATTCGTCTGTGGAATGCAAATTTGGATGCAATTCCAATTATGTGAAAGCAGGTTTTATTTTGTCATTTTCGTTCTGCTGTCTGCTTTCCTTCCTCGTGCCAAATTTATTTGTAGTCTTCATCGTGAGTTTCTCCAATCTGCTTTCCCTTCTTCCAATCTTTACGGTATCCAGGCTCTGCTCACATTCATCTGTGTGTGATTCTAATTGGGGTTTGGAAGTTACTTCCGAAATTCCCCGGTGTTAAGTCTCCCGTCGCTGCTTGAGATTCATTGTTCTCTGCACCCCTGTGTTGAACTTACAGCAGTGAATTGAATTGAAGTAGTCGCTGATGCATTGTTTTGGTTATTCCTGTTTTCTGCTTCTTCTTATTGCTTAAGCGTGAGATTTATCATTTATCAACTTCTGGTTTTGCAGGTGAGGTTCTTGGCGGATACTTCATCTGTTGAAGAAGATACTGGATCATCGTTGAGTATTTTCTGTATGGCTGCTTGTTAATTCTTCTGCTATTTGGTTTCCCTCGACATTCCTTATGAGTGGTCCTCCTAAAAGATCTCATGAAGAGGGTGGTCATTCCTCTACCCCGAAGTACCCAAATGAAGATACGAGCACATACCCCAAAATTGCACCTGGCGGGGTTTCTAGCGAGTACCATTCTCCATATGACATGAGCCAGGATGCTCGTGCAGTAAAGCTTTCCCGCGATGCAGATAGAAAATCCCCCCTTCATTCACTGTACAGAATGCCATCTGCTTCGAATGATTCTTATATGGATACACATCCTGTCCCTTCTGATAGCCGGCTGGAACTAAGAGATCCGAAAGACGTCAGAGAGCATCGAATTGACAACAGAGATCAACGAACTGAAGCAAGAGAGATTTATAGTGATCCTAAGAGGGATACTCAAAGTGTTAAACCTGATAAGGATACCAGGTTGGAGAGTAGAGGAGATGATAATAAGGAGACAAAGCATGAAAGGGAGGCCAATAACGATGCAAAGCACAACGAAGTGAAATTGGAAAAGGATGCTTTGATTTCAGCGAGCAGTCAAATGACATGGAAAGAACCTAAAGAATATCATAGAGGAAAGAGATACTCCGAATCTCCTAACACTCATGCTGATCCTTGGCATACGTCGCGTAGCAATCCCCAAGGCCAGCCTGAGATTAGCAAGGAAGGACAACCTTTTGAAGACAGGGACCATGGAGAGACATGTGAAACGGTTGGCGAAAATAAAGTTGACTCAAAAAATGAGGATAGATGCAAAGACAAGGATAGGAAAAGGAAAGATCTGAAGTATCGGGAGTGGGGCGAGAAAGAAAGAAATGATCGTAGGACCAACTTCCAGATGGGTAACAGCAGCGGTGATGTAAAAGATTCAGCAAGAGAGGAACGAGAACTGGATAGGTGGGAGAGGGAAAGGAAGGATCTTCCAAAGGACAGGGAAAAGCCAAAGGATAATACCAAACGAGAATCATGGAATGGTGTAGACAAAGAAAGTTCCCACAATGAGAAAGACATGGGCGATGTGTCTGCCAGAGTATCCGAGCCCGAAAATCCAGCTTTGGAACAGAAAAAATCCAAAGACTTTGATGCCTGGAAAAATATAGACAGAGAAAATAGAGAAAGGAGAAAAGAGAAAGATGCTGATATTGACGGAGATAGACCAGAGAAGCGCATCAGGTTGGCTGATAAAGAGTCCGATGATGGATTGCCAGATGGTGAAGGAGGTACAGAAAGGGATCGCGATGCTTTTAACTACGGGGTCCAGCAACGTAAGAGGATGCTGCGGTCAAGGGGAAGCCCTCAGGTCTCAAACCGCGAGCGCTTGAAGCCACGTGCTCAGGAAAATGAAGGGTTTGTCTTATCTCTATACTGTCTGATGATTTACTTGCCAGCTAAGTTAGCTTGATTACATGTTTTTGATTTGAGATGAGTGGTGTATGTTTGGAAGTGTCAATTTTTACTTGAATTGCTTTATGTTTGGGACATATAAAGAGTCTTGTAAGTTGAGTTTTTTGTAAATATAGGGATCTGACTATGCATCGGTTGTACTTGGTTCTGGTGATTTCTTTTGTGGTTGTACAATAAGATTTCCTTCTATTAGCAAATGACTATTATGGGAAATTATTTTCTTTGTGAAGTGGATTTTTGGCTTTTAAAAATTGTTGGCCAAGTAATGGTAGTTCAAGAACTTTAGATTGAAGACCTGTGTTTGTTTACGCTCTTTTTCTAACTTAAATTTTAGGAACCAAAAATCAATCAACAAGCAAACCCAACATTATCGTACTCTTTTCTGTGGTTTGACAGTAGGAAGACCTTTGTATTTCTGACCTTCTTTCTCTTTGTTTTTGCAGAACCCAAGGTATGCGCTTATATTTGCCTCAAATACTTCTAGGACTACGTTTCCTGCCTGTCATGCTCTGAAAGGGAGTTTGTACAGCCACTATCTGTTGCGTTTTGGAGTTACCAATGCATAAAATTCATCATTCTTTTCTGTGTAACAAGTGCTGAAAATTGATTTTCTAATCACAAAGGCATTTCCTGTGCTACTCATCTTGTCATGAGTAGGAGTCCCACAATCAGAATATAAGGATCTCCAGCAGTTAGAGTTTCACTGGCTGAGACCTGTCATTCTTACAATGTTCTAAAAATTTAATTTGTCATAGTTGTTTGGCAGGAATTTAGTGTGAATTCTATGATAAGAGACCTACCAGTCAGGCGGTCTTTCAAATGTAGGTTCCAACTTAAAATTAATGGCATGCTTCTGATCTGAACACTAAGAGGAATTGTAACAGCCAAGAGGTACTATAACCAGTAGCAACTTCTGTTGAGACTGGCTGCTAATGAGGGTGTATTAGCTGGACTGTCAGCCTAATCATACCATATCCAAATATTGTTACTTTTGATTCTTTCTGCTTGATGGTTGTGTTTGACTTTCTGTGACCAATATCCTCTCTAACATCCCATGGTGGTGGAGAATTTTATTCTGTTCTTTGTCCTTTAGGTGATATTCCACATTTTCTCCTTTGATTGTAATTTTGCCGGCTTCAGCTGTATTATTCGTGTGACAAATATGTGGCATGTTCTTTCATATAAGTGTTTTAACAATAACATTGGGTTCAATGATGGGCAGATCATGGAATGTTATATAAGTTATAAAGATTGTTTCCTGCATCCATAACCTTCAGCATTGCTGATGATTCAGGGAAATCTGAGGTATCCTCTGTTGTATACAAAGTAGGAGAATGCATGCAGGATCTGATAAAGTTGTGGAAAGACTATGAATCAATGGAATCTGAAAAAAATGGTGATAACGCTCAGAACAGCCCCACTCTTGAAATTCGGATACCAGCAGAGAACGTCACAGCTACAAATCGCCAAGTAAGCATGGTGCTTAGTCTTCTTATCTTTGACTACCAGCACAGTTGAATATGTTGATTTTCACTGAAGTTCTTCACTTATTGTTTGTACTCAAGTTTATAATTGTGGAATTATTTTTGTACGTACATTTCCCAAGACACCAGGCTTTCAATGAAAATGTCAACTTTAGGTGTATGGGATTGTCTTATAGGTTTGTCTATACTGAAAGTGAGAACTTACTTTTGACTCAGGGGCTTAAGCTATACATGTGATGTATCAAACTATCAAACTAACTTAACTGTGAACCAAGTTCTGCAGTGAGGTGTTGTAAAAATGAAAAAAGGTCAAAATAAATTAAGTTTTTGTGGCTTTTCATGAACAGGTCAGAGGTGGTCAACTTTGGGGGACAGATATATACACGGATGACTCAGATCTTGTTGCTGGTGAGTTCTAGCACAAGTTTCATTGGTTCTATTTTACTGGAGTTGTCCGCGTGGAATCCAGTCGTAGTTGGTATATAAACTGATATTGGTTTTTAATCTTATTGAGTTCTTATGCATACGGGATACTGTCGGCCCACTGCTTCTCCTCCTCCACCTGCTATCCAAGACTTGCGTGCCACCATAAGGGTTTTGCCTCCACAAGACAGTAAGCACTCTTTATAGTTTCCATGTTTATGTTGGCTTTTTTAGCATCCCAAGGTGGAAGTTATGCGAATTTCAGGGGGGGGGGGGGGGTCGCTATTTACACCCTTCTTATTTCGTGATGGAATCGATATATGTGCTCCCCAACTCATGACCACATTATCTGCACTACCAGTCTAGTTCTGGTCAAATAATATATTTTCTTCCTTGGAATTAACTGAAAGCTATTTTTTTTCCTTTTCAAATGACCTTGGCATGGTGTAGTCTACTCTAGGCGAAACATGAAATGGAGGTAGTAATTACATAAATTTCAACAAGACAACAAGGGACTCCATGGTAGATCACTTCTAGAGGCTCTTTATGTGCCAGAGGTTGAGTATGGATGAAGACTTTAAATCTTGGATATCCGTGGAGCCTTGAGAGAAAAATTTAGATGCCCTAACATTCTCAGAGGAACACAAGTGACTATGCATCGTAGATAGCTAATATCTCGGTTCCTTGTTTAGATAATGTCCAGTGGTCACTGTCTCTAATCTGCTTGTGTAATGACCATCTTAAAGAAGTCAGATGCATATCCTGGGATTGGCAGGTGAATTATTTTCTTGGATAATTTTCAAACCGGAGCATTGTTATGTTTCCAATGTCTTCCCATAAAAAAATGTCTTTTCTTGGGCAAGATCCTTTGTTTCTGTATATGGAAGACAGGTCTACTTTTGGTAGTTTAACCATGGTTCATTCCCACATAACACAGATAACTGCAGCAGAATGTGGGATGTTTGAGATTGAAATGGAGTTTTTTCCCACTATGAACAGTATTAGCTTATTTATATTCTACATTTCACCCAAATGACAAATGAAAAACCTTAGTGAAATATGTCATTTTATTTTGCTTCCGCTATGAACAGTATTAGCTTATTGATATGCTACATTGCACCCATATGACAGACGAGAAACCTTAGTGAAATATGTCAATTCTGTTTCGCTTCATTTTGCTTTTTAGCTGGTTTTGACTGCTTGTCTAATGATGTGCCTTACATGTTAGGTTATACTTCAATGCTGAGAAATAATGTCCGCTCCCGTGCTTGGGGAGCTGGAATTGGTTGTAGCTACCGTGTGGAGCGCTGTTGCATTGTGAAGGTTTGCACACATCTTCCACTCTATTTAAGTTTCAGGTGTTTCTGACCAATTTTTTCCATTTCACCTTCATCAGCACAAAAGTTTTGCTTGCAGTCATGCTGTTCTTTCTAGTGTCATCGTTTCTTTCATTTTCTACCTATGGCTTCCAGTCATACCTTGCCTTGCATTCCAAGACAGCACTCCCCAACATATATGTTCGGGCTAAGCATACTGCATCCTGGATAGTTTGGCAACCTCTATTGAGCTGTACTTTATCTGTACTTCTTACCTTTCTGTCTTTGATCCCAGAAAGGAGGAGGAACCATCGATCTTGAACCTTGTCTGTCACATACGTCTGCTGTTGAGCCTACTCTTGCCCCCGTTGCTGTTGAGCGGACAATGACCACAAGAGCTGCAGCTTCAGTATGACCTTATCCATTTTTCAAAAACCTTTAGTATTTTCAATTCATATTTGTAATATTTACTCAAAACTGAATCAGAGAATAATAGAGTTGCTGAAAGACAGGCATTTTGTTAAAAATCTATGAATACTTTTCTGGAAGGCCTAGTAGTTAGTGCCATTAAAATTTCATAGGGAACTGATACACCTGTGACCATGACGAATTTAGGTGTACTTATTTGAAAATTTGAACCCTGAGACTGACTAGTAGCAATGAGACATTAAATGCATTGGGTTCAAACCTTGAGACTAACATCATTGATTGTGCTCTTTGTAGCTTATGTTCTTATGTAGCTTATTTGATGGTTTTCCAAATTTCCCCTCTTATTTTCAGAATGCATTACGGCAACAAAGATTTGTCCGTGAAGTTACAATACAGTACAACCTTTGCAATGAGCCTTGGTACTTGTTCTAATCTCTTGAATTTGATATTTTATCCTTTTCCATGCACCATCTGGAACCCATTCTTCTCGTTTATTTGTTTCTTTGATTATCTTTTTTAATTTCAATGCATTCTAAGATAATATGGGCACTTGAAGAATCACACATGGTCCGATCATCATTTCATCGCCACTGATCTGAATTGAGAAAAAACGCATGGAATTTTCGCTGATTTTGTTTGCCTGCAAAAATGTTTCATGTTCTCTTGTACGTTTGACATTAATTCCCTACTATCTGAACCAAAGAAATGGTATTTGGACTGGAATATTGTTTCACAGGATAAAATACAGCATCAGTGTTGTTGCTGACAAGGGCCTAAAAAAGCCGCTTTATACTTCTGCACGCTTGAAGAAAGGAGAAGTTCTGTATCTGGAAACCCACTCTTGCAGGTAGTAGGATTTCATGTTCAAATGTTACATTTGCAACTGTAATCTGGAGTTTTGTTGTGTTCCAGTCCTTTGCTATCAGCGATTTCTTGGTTCTACTCTCTCATTATCAATATAAGCCTTCCTTGAATCCGGTTGTGTCAAATGAATGCCTCGGGATAACCTAAACTTCTTTCTCATTGTTATCTGCTTGTTTCTCTTAGCTCATATGTTTTCAGCCAACCGGATGTTAACTTAGAAACTGCTTGTGGATGTGAAATCCTATTTGTCCCTCAGACTAACATCGAACAAATTTTATTACATCCCATATGCATAGGTATGAGCTGTGTTTTACCGGAGAGAAAATGGTTAGGTCTTCTCAGCCCCAACAGCATGAAGATGCAGAAAAATCACATAGTCATCCTCCTCCACATTCATCCAACGGTGACAGTTCGGATAGCATTCTGTTCGATGCGTTCCGGTGGTCCCGCTGTAAGAAGCCCCTGCCACAGAAGTTGATGCGGTCTGTTGGGATCCCACTTCCTCCAGAGCATGTCGAGGTAAGCGACATCCTTGATTGTTTTGCGACGCCATCGTATTGTCAATTTGTGTCTGTTGTCAGTCATGTACCCTGAATTGAGGCTAATATTGAGCTGTTGTTTTGGAACCCGGCCTCGCAGGTATTAGAGGAGAACTTGGAGTGGGAAGATGTGCAGTGGTCGCAGACAGGGGTGTTCATAGCTGGAAAAGAGTACACACTAGCAAGGGTTCATTTTCTGTCCCCCTAATTTGACCACTCCTGCTGTCTTGTTTGTGTATGTAAAATAGAGAGAAACGAAAGTGTATTATTTGTTGGCTACGGTTGAAGATCAATACGTACTGGCAGTTTATGGTCAAAATCCACCCGACCACCCAATGCCCACCCCTACGTACTGCTCTCTTTAAACGCACGATCTTGTTAATTGTTGAATTATCACCACGTTTTAGTGTCCTTGTGTATGTGTTCGTTTTACGCCTTTCGTCTGTCTTCCAATAGAACCGAGGAGCATGGATAGGGATGACAAAAATATCCGTAACTGTGGATATCCGTCCGAATCCGATCTAATTGGGTAGAGTAAAACCCGAACCCGAATGACTTTTAGTGGGTACGGGTAAAATCGAAACTCGAATATTGCGGGTAATGGTTGGCATGGTTTTCTCACTATCCAACCTGAACTCGCCCGATTATACAAATGCATATGTATTTTGTCTAGAAATAATCAATATTTTTCTCTAACATACTTTATGTTTAGCATATAAATATAATTTTTTTTATGAAATTGTGTTATTTTAATTAATTTTCTTCATTCTAGTGAATAATTATCTTACTTTTCGTCTTATATAACGTTAGAATACGTGTGAATGTTAATATATTGGTTGAAGTTATAAAAAGAAACTATTACCGATAGATAACCGTGGATACCCGAAACCCGAACGAATATGGGCATGGTTTGAATTTTTTACCTGTTTCATATGTGGGTATGAGTATGGATAAAACTCGAACTATTTTGGGTAGGATAACGGATGTGCACTATCCGTGCCCGACCCGACCCATTGCCATCCCTAAGCATGGATTCTGTTTTCGACCCTGCGACAAGATTTTTTTTTTTTTTTTGCCATAGATAGAATAGTAATAGATAGTTGATTACAATGGATTGAAAAGTAAAAGCGACAGTCAATACTAATTGAGCTGTCGATGAAAGAGCCGTTTTTGCCACGCAATGGGCAGCTCTGTTAGTTCCTAAGAAAAAAGTGAAGGAAACCACTCAAACCATCGAAAGGATACAACTTCATGATAAGTGCGACGCCAACTTGATCCGGTGAAGAAGCATGACTCAAAAGGATAACCTCCACGACAGCATCCCAAAATTCGATTTAGCAATAGCAACACCACAAAGCCAATGATGCCTCCCCTATTTCTTAGCAGTGCTCCATCAAATCTCATCAAAAGGCCACCTGGTGGACATGACAGAGCTGCCACCAATCGATTATTTTGCAATTGAATCTTCACCTGCAAAATGAACAAACAAAAAGGCCTCTGCAAGGACAATCCAGGCCAATGAGCCAACAGGCCAACATGTACACAAGGCAACTTTCTCCCTTGAAAAAGTGAACCAGGTCATCGGGAAACCATAGATAACCAACATTGGTTACAAACCTTTTTTTTTTAATAAAAGACTACAAACCTAAACTTGAAAAGAACTTCATCCTTGAGAATATGACTAGGAAAATTGATGCAGAAATTGAAAAAGAAATAATAAAAGAAGCATATAGTTATACAAGATAAAATATAACTAGTAATATTGATGCAATAATAGATGAATAACGATACAAGACATAGAAAAGAAAACAAATAAATAAAGATACAAATAAAATTAATAAATGAGGGAGGATAATTAACAAAAGAAAACAAATAAATATTACTAATGAATAAGAAAATTGAATAGGTAAGAATACTTAGCTTAACCGTCGCCCGGTGGTATCGCCACACCGCCCCGGACCGGTAACCGTCGCGTCGGTGCGTCGGTAGGCACACACAACATCGCCCAATTCGGCTGCTACTGCTCTGCCGCCACACGGCTTTGCGATCCGGTCACCAACGGCGTCGTCCTCCGGATTCATCTGGTTCAATCACACCACACAACACGCCGCGGAGACGGCATCGTTTTGTTCCCCTGAGTCGCACCTCCTCCCCGCGACGTCAGCAATGGTGGCGAGGATAAGACGCTCTCTGATCCTCGCCGGGCCGTGTCGCGCCTGTCTGGACGCTCCTGGCGCCTTGCCTCAACGCTCCTGCAAACCTAAACCTGCAATAATCGACGATGACTTGACCGTCGATGACGTCAACAACACAACGACGAAATAGACGGTTACTATTTCTGTCCAAGTAATCCGGACAATCTTGGAAACCACTACGTCGAGGAGGACGGCAAGATGCCTCGCCCATAACCGAGATGGTCTTCCCTTCCTGGCGCCAATTTTTTCACCCTCCCCTTCCTCTCTCAACCCCTCCTCCCTTCTTCCACCGGATTTCATTCCTCACACCGCCTCCGGTCTCCCCTCCGCCGCCTGCTCCTCAGGCCGCCTCATCTGCTGCGATTCGACATTCAAGTTTTTGCTGACAGTATCGACCTTGCAGATATCTCGGTGGAGAGCTATTGGGCTCGGGAAGAAGAGAGGCCTTGGTGGAGATGACCGGTGGATGTCCAATTTAGTAAGGGACAAAGGAATTATGGTAGTATCTAGAATGCGACTTTCAGTTTATCTTAGAATGCGACTTTCAGTTTATCTTATTTTTACCAAACTAATCATTATTTTGTTTATCGTATGTTTTTTACTTTGCTCATTGAGTCATTGCGGAGAATGTATTTTTATAATAGAACTCATTAGAATTTAGGATGGAAAGTAACAAGTCGGAGAGATGGTGTTTGTAGGAAAAGAAAAACAAAATCAAAGAATTTGACCACAACTATATCTTTGTGATAATAATAGTCAAATTTTCACAAATACACAAAATAGTCAATTTCTTCCAAAACTTTAACGATGTGATTTCAAATGCTGATTGGATTAACAATTTTGTTGACTTGACGATACTTCCCCTACAACATTGCCCTTCTGAATTTAACTCTACCCTTCTCCGTCTTTCCACCTTCAACTCCTCCTCTTCTGACCACTACGAACCCTCCATCCACTCTCGATTGACGAACCCACACCGAGAAACCCCTATTCCCGCTCTAGATCTTCTTCTTGACATCCATCTCACACCATTGCCTCCCTTTCTAAGAGAAGAAGAAGAAGGGAGGCGGTGAGGAAGGGACGGCAGAAGAAGAAATAAATAAAATTAAGAAAATATATTTTTGCTTCTTTTCTACTTTTAAATTTAATTATAAAAACAATTAGCAATGATGTGGCATGATATGATGATTTGGCAATGATGTGGAAATGGTGTGGTGTCCAAGTTAACATGATGTTACCATTTCTAACGGTGTAACTGACACCGTTAATATTTCTAACGAAAATGATTATGTTTCTCAAACGAAATCACAAAACTGGCTATTATAGTTTATTTCTCAGAATTTGACTATTATTGTCACAAAGTGCAAACTTATGGCCATGGAGATGTATTTTGTCTAAATTTTAATGCACGTACACAATTATAATCTATTATATGGATGGAGGATTGGAGGTCGTGGTTCAGTGGAACAATTGTTGGTTAGTGTTCTATTTGACGTTAATTGAGACGCAGAGTCCCATGATATATGATATGACAATGATCCTCACATATGACTCGATGAATTCACAATTCTACAATTCTCAAATAAAAAAAGAATAGAAGAAATTCAGTTTTCATACAATATTTTAATTGACTTTTATATTATGAAAAATCCCCGAACTGATGAAAAGAATATTTAGAAAGTGGATGTATGAAAATACGAAATTCACACTCATACTACTCTTTCGATGCATAATTTAATATTTAAAACGAAACCACAAAATAAATTTTATCGAACTCAAAATGTCATGCTATTATTACTTAATATTAATATTGCATACGTCGAAGGCATAATTTTCTTTTATATCTTTTCATTAATTCCTCCTAGATTGTATTGATGTATCCTTAAGATTTCATTGCAATTGAAATTTGGATATTTTGTCTCATAGTAGCCTGCTCTAGTCCCCTTATGAAACTCTCGTTACGGGGTTAGCCGTACACCGTACATGAATTTAGCAACTCACATGGTATCATCAAATGATGCAAATCTTGGATAATAATTTCAATATTTCCATGCATAACCACAAAAAAAAAAAAGGAAAAGATTCTTGGATCCCAGAAGTGCATGATAAATACAACCCAACCCCAATACTGAAGAAGATGTCATTCGTTTGATGAGAAATGAAAAGGAATATCGAAAATTTGAGCAGCTGAAGCAGCTACTTTCGAAGTAACGGAAAGAAAAGCAACAACTAGAGTGGGAGAGTCGGAGTCAAAAAGAGGATCTATTACCCACTACATAAAAAAAAATTCATTTAATGAAAGCTGGAAATCCATTGCAAAATAAAAAAGATGTATGTCGGATGAAAGGGTGGTTGTTGTCGTTTGCTCCAATAATGAATCATTGGCATTGGCTTAATAAAATAGATAGACCCTTCTCTTTGTCTCGGGTCGATCGGAGAAAATTGAGTTATTTGGATTCGGGGGGATTGATGGACGAACTGCCAATTTTCACATATGAGATATCTACCCTAGTCACTATAGACGCATTTGCCCAATTGACATATCTAAAGGAATCAATGCTGGACTTATTGGATCCTTATCAATTCATGCCAAGATTAATCCTTGGGGTAATTTATGAGGAATGTGTAAACCAATGTTTCCATAGATTCGATCGTGGGGTGGGGGTCATTTATGGCATGTGGGAAGAGCACGAGCGGCCGCAACAGGATTTGAAAAAGGAATTGATCGAGATTTTGAACCTCTTATTTTCATGATTCCTCTTAACTAACTAAGTGGAGATTGAATTTCAATGAGCATGTTGTATTTCATAAAAATTGGGGGCCAATATAATCCCTACGCAAAGGCCACCCTATCCATCTTTCCAGCATTAAGATACGTTTGAGACGTGGATGCTTATCATAAGCAATTCTCAACATATCATAAGATTCCATTTCTTGAAAATCAGTGTTTCTAAGCCTAGAAAAAATATGGAATTCTAGGCATCTTCCAACTACTTTATCGCCAACTTTGATTTCACATCTTTGTAAATATATATGCACGAGTCATTTTCGGATTTATAGCTGGAGCCCCTCGTTTCTCGATCCGTGTCACATCAATAACTCCATCCCTACCACCTATAAGTAGTTTAGGCAGGTTTCCTTTGAAGTAGATACCTAAATTCCAAGGATAGCTCGTAATAATATATCTCCAAAGGCATACAATGATTCTTTCACGATTAGAGGCATTAATTTACCTACTAAAATATCACCTGAACTCCATTATTTTCTAATAATTGTTGTACTTCACGAGTCTCATTAATTTCTTGATCGACGGGGTCCTGGCCCTTAACTATGACGATGATCATTCTCTATATGATACTAAATGGAATAATTACATCAATAGTTGCATTGACAATTATCTTCGCTAATCCTTAGCTTTTCGAGGATTTTTCATCAATGTTTGTGAATGACCGAT